AATAAAAAATTAAATAGCAATGAACAAAGATAATATTGTCGATTGCACATTTGATTTTCGTCATCATCAGACAATGATGATGATGAATTAAAATGTGTTTGACAATTGTAATTATTGACAGATTTTGTGTAATAAAACCAGCCGAGTATAATTGATGTTTGTATTATTGTACATAAAAATCCAGTAATCAATGTACTAAGATGTGTTAAACGTATTTTTAGTGATGGTGATGATAATAATAACCGTTTTGACAACCACTTATGAATAAAATAGAGGTTAAAACCGATTAATGTGACAAATGGAACGATTTGAATTGATAGTGTTTGTATTGAACATATGATAGAATTGGAATGAAATATAAAACTAATTGATGTTATAAACAGAGAAAACAAACCAATTTTAGACAAAATCATGAAAAATGAAATGAGATGAAATGACGGACAATGTTTATCGTGTAGAATCAATGATAAAATATAAGAAAAATATAATATGAGACCAATACAAACTAAACCAATTACACCGAATGTGGGCAATTGCGTTAGAAAAATCAATGAATGTGTTTGAGTTTCATTACAATGCATCGACATTTGATTTATTTCTAAATAAAAACGGAAGATGACATGTAGACACGTTGAGAATGTTAGTTTTTACTTGAATTCCTCTATATAATGATAGATCCACTTTAACAGGTACTTAAGACCCTCAATAAGATCGAATTTATATGTATTTATATGAGATGTGCTCCTATACTCTTTCAATAAGTGGAAATCTGCCTTGTAGTAAATGATTAAAATTGTGAATTTTATTTGATTTCACAACAAACTCGCTTCTATTACTTCTATTTTATTGAAGTTTATTGATAAATGATAGCACATCCGTACAGTTTTTGATAACACTGCGGGACAGTTATAAAAAAATTTTCATACAAAAACACATCAAACATAGTTTCACATTAAAGTGTCGGTTCGTGCATATCTTATATTGACTTCTACATATATTTTATCATAATAACTTTAGGCAAACAAGACGAGAAGAAAAGATTGATCTTCCTATATGTTAGTTGATTGTAGTATTCTTTATCTTACCTAAGGATTTGGAATTTTTACTATGTTGTATTGGATTGATGATGATAATAATAATAATGCTTGTCTAACACTTGAAAATTGTTCATGTTCAACAATATTTGCTTGTTGTATGTGCACCCTATGTATACAGTGTTTGACGTTCTCTCAACCAAAAAACAGAGAGAAGTGTATCTTCTACAATGCAAATGTATATAGTCATTCGCTCTCTCCCTCTCTTATAACATCTATCATCAATGTACAGACAAGTTTATATTGCACTCTGTATTTGACGTAACAATTTCTCTCTCTCTCTCGTTCTCTCTCTATTTTTTAAAGTTTGTTCTTTACTTAAAACCTGTACAATGTTCAATACGTACACATAATAGTTCTCTATCGTTAATTATTTGAATACATTTGATCAAATTATAGAGGTATGGACAATGATTAATATTATAATAGTAGTAGTATAGTGCTTCTTTTTAGTAGAATAGCACAAGCTCTCCCTATTTTTTTTTCTCTCTCACACCCACAATCAGCAAAGCTTTTTTTCTTATCACTATCTCAGATGTCTATCTGTTCAAATGAATAAATGTGTGTAGACTGACAAATGATATATATGTATGTATGCATGCTCTAGAACAACAACAAATACTTTTGAAGAAAAAAAAATCATAGTTAAATTGTATTGTGCTATTCAGATCATAGTACTTTATCTCTCGAATAATAACACGACAAAAGTGTTTATTTTAATATCAAATCTTTTTCCGCATAGGAGATGTTTTTGTCCAAAATATACACAAATAATGGACATATGAAAAGGCAAAAATAAAACAAATATAGTAGTGAGTATCTCTTATTTTATGTTTGTAGCAAAAATAGTCAGATCAACAGTCTATGTTTAGATCTATTGATATCATCATGATAATATGAGATATAGTTGAAAACGAAGAAAGATTGACTAGTTTTGAGATTCTATTGTTGTTTTTTCTACGTCTCTGTATAGTAAGTAACCTCGAATATAGAAGTTTAGACTAATTTACATACCTTTAAATTAAAAGAACTTTGTTCATACGCATACGTTTCAAAACTAAAAGAGAATTAAACAATTTTTGAACTTGATTCACATCTTGATGAAGTAATCTTTTAGTGTGAAAGATAACAAAATTGAAATTTTTGCCTATTGCTTAAGTTTTACATTTTCACTTTGGATAAGTAAACATTTACAATTTACACCTCATATTAATAAAAACATCGTAGAAAGGCTTCCTTCATATTATCAAGTTATTGTTTTTTCTTCTTCACTTCTTGAAAAAAATATTGGTATATTTAAGTGGCTTTCTGATCATAAAATGCTTTTATAACAAGAGTCGAACATTTCGATCCTCTCATTGTACAAAAGAGAAACAAAATTTAAAGTTAGAAGTTCCTTCTTCATCTTTTCAGAAAAATCATAGACTTTGTAATACTCGTAATAGAATTCTTGTGCATTGAAACACATCACCCTTCAATATCGAATATAATTTGTCATACAATTGTCCTTCGAACTGAACAAAAAAAAAAGAGAAAAAACGTTGGTGCTACATTTTTGTGTAAAGTGTTGATTTTCTCTCGAAAGCAATTTTTGTATAATAATGATGATGAAATAACCATATATATTTAGTAAGTGTTAAAAAATATTTGAATCTCCAGGAGAAAAAGAAACAAATCTATTTCGTGCAGACATTAGACAACTTCAGGGGTCAAGCGCAATAGTCGCTAATACCTCTGATTGTATTATACAACATACATTTCGTCAATTGATTATTATTAGATGACATATTGAAATAAACTTAAAACGACATCACACAACCTTAAAAAATTGGAAAGGTGAACTATATAACATATACGTTCGACAGAGAAAGAGGATAGAGATTTTTTTTATCCCTAACAACTTCTATTTGTAATGTGTACTTAATACTTTATTTAAAATTTGATATATATAAATATATATCTAGATTTGACTTAATAAAAAAGATTTTAAAATTATTTGAAGTGGTTTTTCCACTCTCTCTTGTGCTTTCTTATAGTTTAATTTGAAGTAATTGTATATATTTAATCAACCACGATCAATTGCTTTTTTTTACATGTTAATGCAAAGTTTACTCATTTTGTAAAATATTACAAGTAAATTTAAGGCAGTCTGTTATATACGATGGATCACTAGTAAAAATATATCTTTTCGATTAATCGCAATCTAGTCATGACTTGAATAACAAATAACTATTTATTTATTTAGTATTTTTTTTTTTTCTAAATATCAATAGAAAAATGACAGTATAATAACAGAAGAAAACAAATCGAAAAATCAAAATATTTTCTTTAACATTTTGTCAATGGTGTTTGTGTTAATAATAGACCAAAACGTTTTTTCAATAATAATCTCTGGCGAGAATATTGATCATCTGGTGAAAATTTTGCTAAAACAAATAAAAGTTAGATGGTTAGCAAAACAAAAAAAATTTTGACAATAGAATATCAATTACCTGGATGAGCTGAAATTAGACAAAAATAAAATCACTGTTAATATACTTGGAACAAGAAAAAACTACTTAATACTAAATTACCTGATTGTGTCGGCTTTCCAGATGGATCTTCTTTCTAAAAATACAAAAACTAAACTAGCATTGAATTTTATAACACAAAAGACAATAATAATCAACCTTGAATGTATAAACACGTTCTCCATTATCATTTAAATAGTACATTAAAAACATCTTTTTATTGTCTTAATTGATATGAATAAAGCAAAGTTATCTCTAAAATGAACATTCTACTGTTAACTGGAATATAAGCTTTTTTTTTTCTGTTGTAGACTCAGAGGCTCAAGTATACCATTATCAGATTTATGAAGTTCAAGACTATAAACAAATATTTAAATAAACTAAAAATATTCAACTTCAAAACCAATATGATGTATCCTTTTTTTTATTTATTGAAAACGTTCATGTTATCACAGGTTAAAACCAAGCTTTTATTCTTCTTTCTTTGACCGAGATTATTAGATGTAAATTCGATGACATTATAAAAATAATACAATAGAATGCGATTAGATCGCTAACAAAAGGCAAAATGTTTTTAAAAACGAACAAACGAAACAAATGAAAAATAAAATTTAAGTATAGGAGAAAAAATAAACACTAGACTAGTTTGTCATTACTAGTACTATAAAAAATAATCTCTACCTATGTATCAACTTCCTGCGTATCTTTTAAAGATAACATCCTATTCATCAGCTCGGTTTTACTCAATAAACGTTAATACTATGTGGTATGTAACAGTCAAAAATAATAAAGAAAAATCTTGCTTGTTGCAGAAAACAAATCTAAACACCATATAACAAAAAAAAAAAGAAAATAATAGACGAAACAAGAGAAATATAAAAAAAATAATTCATGATTATTTGAACATATATACAAACCTGTTTAAAAGTGTTTGAGATATAAAGAGAGAAAAACAAAGAAAAAAATATCTGAATTTTTATATAGCATCGAAATCGATTGACTAAATGAGAAAAGAAATGACTAACAACAATAACCGAAAAATAGATTTCTATCAATATACATGGCAACTGTTTCTTTTTCTTTTGATTGTGAGATTTATCAGACTAAAATCAAACCCACGAGACAACATACGCACACATACACACACACACAACAAAGTTTTTTTGATTTGGAAAAAAAAAATGAAAAAATATAAGAAAATATCTAATTGTCATCATCACCGTCATCGATTCTCTGCATCAATGTACGTTTTGGCTGTGGCATTCGTAATATTTTCATGTCTGGTGTTATTTTCAAAAAACTACAAATGAAAAAATAAAAATAAAGTTGAGTTACAATATTTATATAACTAAACTAATGAAAAAGATTAATGTTATAAACCGTAAGTATAAAAGAGGATAGGTAAAAACGCTCACGATGCACAACATAACTAAGGAGATGCATACAGAAGTTTGAATGATGTTGCTTAGAGAAAGAAAACTGGACTAAATACCTTAAATCTTGAGGTGTAAGAAAAATATATTGTTTCTGTTTTTCTCTAGCCACATCTAGTACAAGTTTCATTGCTGTTCGGCGTGTAACATGATCCTGAAAATTAAAAATAAAGCGTTACAAATTATGACATTAATCTTTTGAATATTGAGTATAACATTCAAGTCGTATATTGTGACTATTTACCATAAATACATCAAATTCATCTAAACAACGTAATGGCATTTCAACAACTTCCCATAATGCTAACATGAAACAAACTGTTGAAAATGAACGTTCACCACCTGATAATGAGCGGGTATCTTCATGTGCTTCATCGCCACGAGGTGTGATCTATAAAAAAAAAGTATTTCAATCTATATCACTCAATTAAATTAGAAAAAAAACATACTTTCAATTGTAAAGTTCCTTCTTCATGATCAAATTTTGCTTCACCTTGATAATTTCGACTTTCCAAAAAACTTTGAAAACATTGACTTGTTAATTCAGCTGTACGTTCTAATAATGCGGTATATTCACTACCTCGACGATTTGCTGCTCCAACTAATTTCTGAAAACAAAAGAATCAATAAGAAAAAGAAGAATTTCAGTAAAAATTATTTATTGTACTTTGATAAGACTCCGTTGTTTGCTAACAACAAAATCGAATGTATCATATTGTAATTGTAATTGATCATATTCTTCTTGAACTTGATCAGAATTTTGAGTTCTAAAAATATCAATGTTTTTGCTCCTTTTCTAATAATGTTTGTAAACTCATACTTTGATCGATTTGTTTCAATAAATTTAATTAATGAATCTAAATTTCGTTTGACTACTTTCGAGTCTATATTTGAATTGGGTTTATCTTTAATATATTGTTTTGCTTGTTGAATTTTAGAATCATAATTATGTTTAAGTTGTTGTATTTCATAATTGACATTATCCAGAAGACGTTGCATATCGATCAATTTTTGTTCTAATTGATCAACTGTACGTTGTCCATGTTCTTTTAATGAATCGCATTCTTGCAAACTTTTTTTACATTGTTCTAATTCCATTTTTTTTTCTTGTACTTTATTTTTGGCCACTGCCAAATCATTACACAATTTTTTATATTCTGGATCATCATTGACATTTAATTTTAATTTTTGTTCGTCGATCTTTTTAGAGAAAAAGAGATAAGATTAATGAAAGACAAAAAGTCAAAATGGAGTGTACACAAGTGTAACATACTTTTTCTTGAATTTTTTCTATTTTCTTATCATATTCATCAATTTCACTTTCAAAATCATCGATACTACTATCTCGAGGAGTATCTCGTTGACGTAATTCGTTTAATTCCTTAACAACAATGAAAAACCTGCTGTGTAAAAGAGATAAAACTTATCATTTGTGCTGAATAACTCATGCAAAGCTTTATCTACGCCTTTTTCCTTCAAGAGATGAAAGTTTTACTTATTGTAAATCACATGCCATTTTTAACTTTAGATCAGTTGACTAATAAAAGTCTCAGTTGTACATACTTTTTGCGATTTTGCACATTTCATTTTGATGTCATTTATTGTTCGATCAAGATTTTGTGTATTCGATAAATGTGTTTGAATACGTGCTTGTGTTTCATTCACTTGTATTTTAGCTTCATTGACTTTATTTTGTGATAATTTCAAATCATCTTCAGCTTGTCTAGTTAATTGAAGAAATTCATTCATTTATCCGATATGCAGCAAAACATCAGAATGCTTACGAAATTTGACCAGATATATCATCAACAAAAAAACGAGGATTTGCTAATTTGCATGTAATTATACGAAATAATTGTCCACCCTGTACTTGAGTACCATCAGTAATAAATGCCTAAAAAAATCAGAACAAGCGGCTATTTTGATTTCGGCGCATCCGCAACACACATCTAGATATTTATCGTATATCTCTTCTAAAAGTTTCTAATCTATTACAAGGACTCTGTCGCTAACCAAGAAGAGATTATGAATAGAGTCTCTATAGAGATCGAATATCTAGTACTTCTGTACAGGTGGGACTTTATTTGAGTGCGTATTTTTTTAGCGCGTCTTATTTGAGCGCATTCCCGTTTAAGTGCATCTTATTATAGCGCGTCTTATTTAGGTACGTTTTCAATTACACCACTCATTCCTGAAAATATTTTGAAACTTTTGAATCGTTTCTGTCATCACTGTTTGAAATTAATTCTTAGTGGCTGGTAATGTTTTATTTTAATCTCAAAAATAATCTAGTTTACAATATTTTCGAACAGCTTCATCATCAAAATACTCTCAAGAATGATGGTGTAATTGAAAACGCACCTAAATAAGACACGCTAAAATAATATGCACTTAAATGAGAATGTGCATAAAAGAAAACGCACTCAAATGAGATGCTCTAAAAAAATATGTATTAAAATGCAACGCACTTAAATGAGACGCACTCATATGCCCTCTCCTCCTTCTGTGCACGGCATCAACAAAATACGTGAAAGCATACATACTGCAATACAATTTTGTGGGCAATTATGTTCCATTATTTTTCGACCTTCAGCTGTTGTATCCAATAATATACATTGTTCAATTTTCGCCTAAACAGCAAAAAAATGATTGTTTTTAAAAGAAGTTCATCCTACTGGAGAATATGGTATTTACTGCATCGATCAAGTGACACGCAACAGTTGGATTATCAATGTCAAGCATATCGAATATCGTTGGTTGACGTGTATTAGCACGCTAGAAACAAAGATTTATTTTTCAAATATCAAAAACTATTCTGTACAATAACATACTTTCAATTGTTTGTATACTGATTTTTGATACGCCATAACTAGAATTAAAATTCGATTAATTTTATAATTGAGATACTAAATATAATTAAAACATACCTGTCACACTTGGTCGTTGATACATCTCATTTGCTGGTATACAAGATGAAAAGATTTCCAATAGAAGACGTTCATCTTCACGACATGAACATATGTAACCGGTCATTTGAAAATAAATACATTGTTCAATAGCGAACGACCATTTTCGATCTTTCACCTTCAAATGTGTACCTACGAAGAAAAAAACAAAACAAAGCAAAATAAAATATATTTTATCTTTTATAATTAATTCACTGATCAACCTACCAACAGGTCCAATAGGCATTTCTTTAAATTTATTTGCATGTTTTTCAATTGTTTTTAATATATTAACAGTATACGGTCCATAGATACTTTTACTATTATTTTTAGCTAATCTCAAGTTTTGAATTTGATATTGACGTTTTTGACAATAATTTTCAGCAGTTCGCACCCCTTGATTATCAATATTTAATTGTTGTCGTTCATCATCAATTAATTGAACAAAATTTTGACGTTCATTTTCTTTCATTGACAATATGGCACGTTGTTCACTAATATACGTATCTAATTCTTCAATACGTTTACGAATTTTTTCATAATCATTATTAGCTGATCTAAGAAAATATAGAAGAGATTTGTCAAATATGTAAGCTACTGTTGCAATCCTGGATAATATTTTGCTTCATTTCTTACTGATTTCTTGATTCTTCAATTTTTTTTTGAATATTTTTTTTCAATACATTTTGCATTTGCAAATCATTTTCATATCGTTTTATTTCAGCCTCAATTGAACGCGTTTGTTTTTCAAATACTTTCACTTTTTTTTCAATATCATCATGAATACGTTTTTGTTCAATTGTCGAATTGGATATTTCATTTGCATTATGTTGTAATTCATCACGTTTTGTTTTTTCATTTGCTAATGCATTCTTGAAGGGAAGAAAAACAAAAATAAACAAAAGAATAAAAATATACCGGCATAAAGTAGTACAAACTTTAAATGAATCACGTTTCTCTTTAAATTTATCGATTACATCAAGTTGAGCAGCACCATCCTCATTCGCTTTTTCCAGTTGCTAAAACAAATAACTAATTAATAAAATTCTATTTTTATGTTTGTTTCGAATCAAACAGAATATAAAACAATTCACTAAAAGTTGTTTACTTCTTCTAATTGAAACACATCAGCCCATTCTAATTGACCTTTGAGATTATTCACATTTGCTTCAGCTTCTCGAACAGACTTTGCAAATTTTAATTGAGCTTCTAATTCATCACTTTTCGATTTCATTTCATTAACAGTCTACAAAAAAACGAGTATAATAAACAGATTATGTTGTCATATGATAGATTTTCTACATAATCAATGTTCTACCTTAATATGTTCATTCAATACTTTTTTGGCTTGACGTATTTCAACTTGATTTTCTTCAAGATCTTCTTCCATTTTCTGTAACTGTGTGGCTTTTAGAAAAAACTAGAAAAAAAGACGTTTGTACTAAATGAAAAATTATATATAACAAAATAAAATCTTACATTATATTTATCTTTATCGCTTTTTGTATTTAAAAAATTTTTAGCAACATCTTGATTTAACATACACATTGGATTATCAACTTGTATATTAAAATGTGCTATTATCTGATCAATTGTATCTTTTAATTCTGAGACAGTTTTACCTTGAAAGAAGAAAAATATGAAAAATTATTTAAAAAATTAGTGACAATTTCATTTCTATTACCGCCTCCATTTTTGATTGTATAATGACTTTGTCCTTTGATATTGATTTTTCGTGTTATCAAAATTGATTTGCCATATCGTTCAATATCAATTGCTTCGAGGCCTTCGTTACACAATAATACAGCTATTTCAGATTGACTAAAATTAAACACAAAATTAGAATGGCTTGTGCAACATAAAAGTGTTTAAGGCAAATTCTGACAACTAAAGCACTTCATGTCTTTTTTCTGATCAATGCAACGTTTGATTCTATATCAATTCTTTAAATCATTTAGTTTCCAACATACGATATTTTTCTTAAATGCTTAAAGATAGTAAGATAGCAACGATTTGCACTTTTTACCTTTTGCCATGTTGAATAAACCGACTGACATTGGTACAACGGCTTGTACTTGTTGCACGCCCGCCAAGTGTTAACGTGATAGCATTCATAATAGCCGATTTACCACCTAAAAGGATGTATAATAATGTCTTTAATAACTAACTAACACAACTAGGATACGTACTTCCATTATTTCCGATTACCATATTTAAATTTTCATTAAAATCAAATTCAAGAAATGTATGACACATAAAATTTTTTACGCTAATTCTCATTATTGTACCGGCATTTTTATGATACTAGAACAGACAAAGGAAATGTTCATGTGTAAGAAATCGAACAATTACTAGAAATGACTTACTTCTTCTTCTTTTGGTTGTTGATGACGTTGCTGTAGTGGTTGTTGTGTCGTATTTACATTCTCATCAACTGGTCTTTTTCTTTTTGCTGGTGAATGTTGACCGGGTGTACTGGGAGTTGTCGAGCCTCGCTTCGGCATCACAGAAAAATATTCTAGAATAGGAAGACAATATATAAGTATGTTGTTATTTATTTTTAATATATTTTCAAATGAAATCAACAAACTTAGCTTAGCCTACTAAAGAAACGTTGAGAAAGCATGCTCTATGACATTGCGAGAGCGCTTATTTAACTTACATAGAGTTGAAGAAATGACGGTGATACTACTAATGTCTGAACTTGGCAAACATCTGTTGTAGTAAAAAACACCAAAAATCTACATAATTAGCAATATTATTCGCAAATATGTGTTGATAGTCTCAGTTTCTACTAAGATTGTATCAACTGCAGATTAACTTTGACTGCAAGAAACTCTCCTGTTACTAATTTGAGAAAATACAAAACTCCAACTGAGGCCTCATAGTACAAAAGCGAATATATGCAGTTCATACGTAATTAGGAAACTAAAACAATATATCTTGTAATCTGACAGAAAAAGACGATAGAAAATTGAACTGAGGTATCTGATTACAATATATGTCTTTGATAAGATCGACTAAAGAAACATGGCGAATATATGGTGTGGTAATAGGATGTTCTAGATTGGTCATAAGCAAATGAACTGAAAGTTACAAAACATGAGTCGGATAGCACGTGGAAACTTTCCGCCAACTGTGAGTTGATGCAGGAAATTCGCTCTCAAAACGTTGTTTTCTATCTTTTTTATGACAACTGGGACCTGTTTCTTAAAAAAACTTAAGTAGAAAATCTTACTTAAGTCAAACTTAAGTCCAAAAAAGTCTTTGTTTTTTTTGACTTAAGTAAGATTTTCTACTTAAGTTTTTTTAAGAAACAGGCCCCTAGTCCACTTCTTATACAAAGGAGATAAATGTAGAAAGAGGGTAAACTGGCAGTCACCAATACGATACCAGTAACTGCTTACAGCTAATTACCAATAAAATGAGAAACAGTGTTTCTAATAGCAAAGCGTACATAAGCCTCGAAATTTAAAAATACGCTGTTTTATGCTTTGCTGAGAAAAACAGGGCGTACAATGTACGCTTCGTTTTCTAATAGAACTTTTTTTATATTTAAGAGAAACTAAGAAAACTTTTTTAACTAGTGGGTCATTCTGCTGTTTGAGGGTGACAACATCCGATCACATACTTATAGATGTTTTCATCTATTTCGAATCAAAACGTACCATAATTATGATATGGCCGCCTTGTTCTACGGACTCACTACACACGATTTTTAGGTGTTCTATCTTATCAAAAAAATTTAATAGATCCGAATCATTGTATTGGGTACCGTAACCAAGACTATGAATTTATGAACTACAGATGATTTCAAAAAAGCTTTTGACAAATGGCTTGACCGAATGTAAATGTGTGTGTAAACACACCTACTAGTTCGAATATTTGCTGAAGTAAAAACTTGATTAACTCTCTTTCTATGAATTTTTATCTAGAAATCTCGGAACTTTTGATATACCCTAAGTACAATTTGATTTTTAAAACCACAGCTCGTTTTACAGTATGTCAGAAAAAGCAAATTGTTCTTTGTGCAGTTTGAAATTCAAAATTCTTTCAGTCTTAATTATCGCCAATCATGCATTACAACCCAAAGAGTTACAAAGAAGATTAACAAATGAGAAGTAGATAAATATACGTGTATGAACTTTGTACAGTTTGCAAAAAACAACAGATTGTAAGGATACAAAAATAGTAAGGGGACAAACTCTCATTAGAAATATCGATTTAAACATCATAGTTCAATCGTATTTAAATTTCGAAAACAAGCAAATATTACGAAGTTCACGCATATCAATAGATGAGAGTAATCGGAATTCAGATAACTACACTAAAAAGTGAGAAATATAGCCCTGCATTCGTTCAACTATTGTTCTTATTTTCTTTGTTTCAGCGATGTTCCTATTTTCTTTGTTCAACTATAACGGTAAACTAGATGCATTCATTTGTCGGCAAGATCAACAAATAAAACATGATCGAACTCAAGGTGTCTCTAAGATCGATTCTTTATCAATTTGTACTTGTATTTATCTTTATAAAAACGCTTGAAGATGTTTTAGGATCTCTCGAACGATGCATATGATTGTCGCCGTTTCCATAGTGACTCCACATAAGAAATTCTCAGATGGCGAATTATTTATTACACTTGAAGGTGCTACTCTAATGGATGTACTTAAGCCAAACTACTTGAGATAGGTACTTCGGTTGTAAACGTAATGAAGTAGATACTCACATTTTTCTAGAGGGAAATTTCCTTATGAATACTTGCCTCACTCGAGAAGCACTTATTCAAGCTCTTGTCAAGTATTAGTCAAGGACTTCTGAAGTACTTGTCAAGTATATTCGCAAGTTTAACAAAAGACTTCGTAGTAATAAGGCTAGACATTGCAATCTTGGAGAACTACTTATAAAAGGTCATTGGCGAGTAAGTAATTGGATCAAGTGCGATTACTCACTTCAATTTTGCTTTTTCGTTCAATTACAAGGTAATACTGAGAGACAGAGAACTATTGTATTTCTCTTGTCGACAAGTTCTATTTGCATAACCCAGGTCGAATAATCCTACGGTAGGATTGTTTGACCTGGGTTATTCAAATAGAACCCTACGGTAGGGTCTAGCAAGATTCTTACACGATCCTACTTTAGGATCCTGTAAGATCGTACGAAAATCGTTTAGGAAAACCTCAAAGCCAAAAAATGCTACAAAATCCTACTGTAAGATTCTATAGGATCGTGTAGTCAGCTCTTGTAGATCTGGCAAGATCCTACAGGATCCTACTGTAGCATTGCAGTAGGATTTTATCTGGTTTTTTGCTGGTTGCTGTAGCTGTTCCGTGTCGCTACCCCTCATCGTTTTTTGTCTGTTTTCATGCCAAATTCGTTCACTTTCAATCATAAATGTGTTTTTATTCGCTAATACGTGCAAACATCACATGCAAATCACAGTTCATCATATAGTAACAGGAAATTCAAATGTAAATAGGTTTATTGTTTTATTTGTTTAATTGATCCGAGCTAGCCAAAATCAGGTGATTCTGAGCTGGACTAAGCCCAAGACGTGTGAGTTATGGTTCACACATCGTCGAATAACAGTGAGTTTCAATGGCTCACAGTGTTCGGTGCGAAAATAAGTTTTCCTAAAGAAGTTCCTAAAGAGCCTAAAAGAAGTTTTTGTTTTTTACAGTAGAGTTGTATTTATATTAGAGTTACCGTAAAACACGTCGGTGATTGTGTTCTCGTATAGAAAAAGAAAAGAAAATATATACAGAACGAAAGATAAGAATCCTACACAGAATCTTAACCTAGGATTTGTAAGACATGCGTAAGATTCCTATTATAAAAATTTTATAGAATTTTTGCTACCGTCCTATATCAAGAATCCTACAGAATTCCTCTCGCAGGATTTCATAGGACCCTATAATAGGAATCCTATGAAATCCTATTATTAGTAGGATCTTGTAGGATTCTATTAGGATTGCTTAACCTGAGAAACTAAATGCACAAGCTACGGATTCTGGAAAATTGTTCCAGTCAGTGGTAGTAGAACGAAAAAATGAAGACGAAACTGTTTGAGGAGGAAAATCATTAACAATAGGTGAGGTGGGATACGAACATATACCAAGCGATGAGAACGTAAAACAGAAGAGTGTAGTGAATAAACTGCATAAGAAATTGATTCAGAACTTAGACGATAATAAATTTTGAATTCTAAGTGATCAATTTCGAAATATATTTCTTGTGTTAATCAGGAATTTGATGCTCATTTTCTCCATGCAGTCTTCTAGAACGTCCTCCCAAGCCGGATTCTCGAGCGATCCACCTTAAACTTTTCTTGATATGACTGAATCGAAAGGCATATGGATGTTCATCTCGAGAAGGTTGCCTTCTTCAGAAATCAGAAGCATACCGTGATATGCAAACGTCTATGCGCACATGTCGTCATGGATAGCTTAAGTTGAGTAAAAAAAGCTTAAGTCAAGTCTTGGAGGACGATGCGCAGTTTAAGATTGCTCAGTTTTATTTTCCAGAGTAAATAGTGATTATCCGTTCTATTGATCTCCTTATCTTGTCAGACTCGGTCTGTTCTTCTCATCGTAACACAAGGCTATTGGTGTCATATTGATGAGTGTCATAAAAAGGATATTTTATAAAAAATCACGAATAGAGATCATGAATTTCCAGATCTGACGGTTGAACATTCAACGGTTTTGAAGTGTTTTCTCATGAACCAATCAATTGAACTTGTTGAAAAGTCAATGAATAATTTAAGTTTTAATTCTAAAGAAGATGAACTTACTTCTGGCGTCCAGAAAGATTAAATAATAACTTTCTGATGGAACGTCAGATGATGTCAGTCAGATAAACCATAAAAAATAACAAAAGATAATTCGGAACTAGTGTTGCACTAATAACATTCATCTCAAAAGTTGATTCGTATTACAACAGATAAATGGGACTGTTATTTCTATGCATTTTTTCAAACATCACCGATAGCGTTTCACATATTTGAACACACGCAAATCCGCTCATTTTCTGAACGCATTTGTGTACGTTAGAAAATAATAAATCCGTCTATTGTAATATATGTCGACATATTCAAGATACAAAAATTACACCATCAATCAAGTGGCACGTGTATTCTGTTTAAAAAGAATAAACAAATTAAAATCAAGTTCATTCGATCGACAGTAAAGACTGATGACACTAACAATGCAACAGATGATAATCACCGGTCGTTTTCGTATGATTGTAATCAAACATTGAATAGTGAACCCACATTTGGTATATGCAAATCAAACAGATAATGATCCTACTGGATACATTCGATTAATACAAATAATAGAAGAAACTATTCATATGAAAATTGTATTTGTTACTCATACGTTCTAGCTGTTATATAAATAAAAGTATTTTTATGAAAAAAATAGTTTATTTGCGTTTTAAACACTGAACGATGACAAAAAAAATGTGAAGATGAAACGTGTTTTCTTGCATTTGAGACTGTTATATGCACATGAATGCGTTCGTCTTTCATAAGATGGCACCATGGAGAGTTAGAAATTTCAATCTATTCTGAATTTTACATTTGGAATATAAAACATTTCAATTGTGTAACAAAAAAAAAACAAAAAAAACGTATTGTTATGGTAAAAGAATAAAAGAGAAACATGTTTTAAATAAATTTCCGTCATTTGGCTTACAGAATTCTTTTTTAATATTATGATTATACATTTTATCTATAAATATTGTATCGTTTCTTAAATAGTTTTATATGTGATAGATCTCGTTAATACCATACATCTTATTATACCATTTTTCGTCTAACAATAATGAGCTGTCATTTGATTTTCTAATACGAAATGTGTAGGACACGAATGATATTTGACAAAATCTTAGTTCCTATTAACTTAAAATTGCATGTATACAAGTACATTGTATTATTTTACTACTTTTTTTTTGAATCACTGAGGCGTATATTTTCGCCCATATTGACTTTTCTTCATCCTATTTTGCCATTTGATTATTATCCAAGGTAGATAGAAAGAAGGATTAAACATGTAATATTTATTTTGACACTAAAAAAAGTAAGTCGTACATTTGAATGTTATATTTCCGTTTTTAATCAGTTCAAGTATAGTTTTCTAAGACTTGTAGTTCTATATTTATTTATTGAGCAGAGTAATGTTGACTAAGTTTTCAGATAGTACTGGAATAAAATGATGACAATGTAAAAGAAAAGAGAGATAAGGAAACAAAAATGTATTGTCGAAAGAAAAATACTATGTAATCTTAAACTTACCTTAGATACATACAAATCTCTATTTTAAAGCAAGATCTTCAGTATACGTGTCTGAACTGTTTATAAGATTAAATTATTAAAATTTTTTAATAATAAAAAATCTATTTCTGTTACAGTTTAGATAAGAGTGGCTAAACTGTATGGCTGATAAGAAAAAAAAAGTTGTGATCATCGGTGGGGGGCCATGCGGTTTGGGCGCTGCTTGGCGAATAGAAGAAATAAGAAGACAAGGTAAGAAAAATACTTCTTAATTGTATATGATATTATATATTTCCTTATTCATTTATTTTGAAATTTAGGTAATGATAATGTTGACTGGGTTCTCATTGAACAAAATGAAAAATGTGGTGGTCTAGCTTCAACAGTAACGGATGAACAAGGATTTCTATGGGATATGGGAGGCCATGTAAGAGCAAAAAATGACAAACACTCATCTCTCATACTATTTATATTATTCTTATTCTTTTTCCTTGTAGGTCATATTTTCTCATTATGCTTATTTTACCCGTTTATTAGATTATTTATTACCACCTGAAGAATGGAATTTAAAGATACGAGAAGCATGGGTATGGATGAGACAAACATTTATTCCATATCCATTGCAACAAAATCTACACCGCTTACCAAAAACTGATATCATACAGTCTATTGATGGATTAATTGATAATGAAAAAAAACGATCATTATTTACTAAACCAAAAACATTTAAGGTAATGATTACATTGATCGAAGTCTACTATTATACAAATAATCTCATTGATTAAAAAATTCATATATATATATATATCGATATTTAGGACTGGTTAATACAATCATTCGGTAGCGGATTATGTGAAGTATTTATGTATCCTTATAATTTCAAAGTATGGGCATATACAAGCGATAAAATGAATATTGAATGGATGGGTGAACGTGTAGCCACTGTTGATTTATCAAAAGTAATTAAAAATGTTATTAATCAACAAGATGAATTAGGTTGGGGACCAAATAATACATTTCGATTTCCGTTACATGGTGGTACTGGTGCTATTTGGAAAAGTTTATACGAATTTCTAAAACCAACAAATAAATTTAAATTATCAACAAAAGTTATTGCAATTGATGTTAAACAAAAATTAATTACATATTCGGATAAAACAACAGAATCATATGATTCAATTATATCAACAATGCCATTAGATTGTTTATGTAAAATAATTGATGGTACTTCAATACCAAGAGAAACATTGAATGAGAATGCAAAACAATTTCGATATTCATCCAGTCATATTATAGGTCAGTAGAAGTAAACGTTTTAATTTTGAAATCTATGTCTCTTTTTTTTCTCAAATATCATTAGGCTTTGGTATAGCTGGACAACCGCCTACCAATTTACAATCAAAATGTTGGCTTTATTTTCCTGAAGATGATTGTCCATTTTATCGTGCAACTGTTTTTTCAAATTATTCACCTTTTCATGTACCAAAACCCGGTCAACAATGGAGTTTAATGTGTGAAGTTGCCGAATCAGCAGATAAACCGGTTGATAAAGATAAAATTATTCAAATAGCTGAACAAGGTCTAATAAATACAAAATTAATTAATGATACACATGAAATTATTAGCCGATATCATATACGATTAGAATACGGTTATCCGACACCATTTTATGGTCGAGATGCATTGTGTGAACCGTTATTTAATGAATTTGAATCACATGATATATATTCACGAGGTAGATTTGGTTGTTGGAAATATGAAGTATCAAATCAAGATCATAGTTTAATGTTAGGAGTGGAAGCTGTTGATAAAATTGTATTTGGCACAGAAGAAATGACATTTAAATATCCGGGAATTGTTAATGCAAATAAAGATAGTGTTGGAAGAGTGCCATGTTTTCCAGATAAAAAATAATTAAGAATAATTTATGTGAAACAGGATTTGATGAAATTAGAAAGTGAATTTTAACACGGCTAGTAGTGAGACATAACTTGATAGACAAACATGTGAAACGAAAATGTATGCTTCGATCGAAAATCAAACTCAGGACTCTTTGATAACAGAACAGAAGTTCTAACAGCTAAGCTACCGAAGCACGATTCAACATACACTCTCAATTCACATGAATGATTTTTCACTATCAGACTCTGATAGTATCAGCGTCTCGAATACTGACGTAGTATCCCTCGTACAACGAGTAGTAGTACTGTCGACCTCATTACAAGAGTATATAATCTCTCGAAGATTTATTATGCCTATACTAACTCAACGACTAATTTTCTTTTCACATGTTTGTCTGTCAAATGACGTCTCATTTCTAGCCGTGTTTACTTTCTTATTATTTTTGTTGTGAATTTGTTAAGTTTCAAAAGAATATTTAGTTATTATTTTCTCTAATTATTGTTACTATTGTTATCGACAATTAAAACGTGCTGAATAAAAAATTGTTTAAAAAATTTCAAAAAAATTTCATTATCGGTCATATTTTTACTATAGGATAACGCCCTAATATCTTTCTTTTGAATGAAATATTTTTTATTATTTTTCACTCAAAATTTGCCTCATGTTATCATTCTGTTAAATCTGTAGTATATAATTTTGCATGAATTCGATTTTCTACAAATTCTTCTTTCAATATCCATCCCCACTCAGGCGAAATGAATGGACGTTTATGAGGTGATAAAATAATTAAACGATTCGAAATAAATTTTAATTGTATCATTAGAGCTGGTAGCCAACTTTGTTCAACTAAATGTAATGCAAAACTACAAATAATAACATCATAGAAATCTTCTAAACATCCATCAGCTATATTTGCAAATGTAAATGTTTGTGCTTTTTGTCCCGTTCGATAGTAATATGCATCGGCTGTATACGGATCAATTCCATCGATCGATGTGAAACCGAGTGAACGTAATGCTAGAGTACATTCACCACTGCCGCATGCTAAGTCGAGTACACGATAGTCTGATAATAAATGCCATCGTTCAACAATTAATTTTAAAATAATTTTTATTTGTTCCTCATGTGGATTTCTATATTTTGCTCCAAATTGTCTATAATATTCAGTTACTCCAAACTTTTCATATTGATGTCGTATTGCTACATCATCTTTT